AAATGGTGCGTGGCGTAAAGTCGAGAACCAGAAGGAGAGGAAGAAAAACCAGAAGGAAGATGAAGTGAGGAAGAAGGAAGAGGAAGCGAAGAGGAAGGAAGAAGAAGCGAGGAAGAAGGAAGAGAAGAAGAAGGAAGACAGGAAGAATAAGGAGAATCCTAGGCCTCGTAGGGAGAGAAGCAAGGGTGACGCTCTGGTTGTTGAGGCGAAGGACAAAACGTCCTACGCAGCACTCCTCCGGAAAGTGAGAGATGATCCGGAGTTGAAACACTTAGGCGAGAATGTGGTGAAAACTAGGCGAACCCAGAAAGGCGAGATGCTATTCGAGCTGAAAAGGGACCCTACGGTTAAGAGCTCAGCTTTTAAGGAGCTCGTCGAAAAATCTCTTGGCGAGACGGCGAACGTAAGAGCCTTATCCCAGGAGTCAGTGGTCGAGTGCAGGGATCTGGACGAGATCACAACAGAAGACGAGTTGAAAAGTGCGCTGAAGGTGCAATGCAACCTGGGAGACGTACCGATGGCAATTCGATTGAGAAAGGCGTATGGCGGCACGCAGACGGCGTCGATACGACTTTCTTCGGACGCAGCTAACGAGCTGCTGAAGACTGGCCGAATCAAGGTTGGGTGGTCAGTGTGCCCGTTGAAAGCTATTCCTCGGGTATCTAAGAAAATGGAGAGATGCTACAAATGCATGGGCTTCGGTCACCAGGCGAGACACTGCAAAGGCCCTGACAGATCTGATCTGTGCAGGAAATGCGGAGAGAAGGGGCACGTTGCAAAAGACTGTACAAAGCAACCGAGGTGCATGCTCTGCAAAAAGGAGGACGGAAATGGCCATGTGACGGGAAGTTTCAGGTGCCCTGAGTTCAAGAAGGCGATGGTGGGCCAGCAATAATGAAGGTAACCCAAATAAATCTCAATCATTGTAACACAGCACAGCAACTGTTGTGGCAGTCAACAACGGAAACAAAGTGCGACGTTGCAATCATTGCAGAGCCATACCGAGTCCCTCTCGATAATGGTAACTGGGTGGCGGATAGAGCAGGAATGGCGGCCATACAAGTCATGGGCAGGTATCCCATACAACAAGTGGTGGCAAGCTCATATGAAGGTTTCGTGATCGCCAAAATCAATGGAATCTTTGTATGTAGTTGCTACGCACCCCCGAGATGGACAATTGAGCAGTTCCACCAGATGCTAGATGGGCTCACCGAAGAGCTCATTGGACGGAGACCAGTCGTCATCGCAGGAGACTTCAATGCTTGGGCAGTGGATTGGGGGAGCAGATGTACCAACGCAAGAGGGTATAGCCTGCTGGAAGCTCTGGCAAAGTTGAACGTCAGTCTGGCCAACGAAGGAACCATCAGCACCTTCCGCAAAGATGGTAGGGAATCCATTATCGACGTTACTTTCTGCAGTACGTCGCTAATGGCAAATATGAACTGGACGGTGTGCGAGGAGTACACCCATAGTGACCATCAGGCGATCCGGTACAGTATCGGCGAACGAACACCGGTGGAAATGCGGAGGACGAAAGTAAGCGAGCGGAAGTGGAAGACGAAGGCATTCAATAAGGATCTCTTCATCGAAGCTCTAAGGGTAGACAACAGCGTCCCGGGCCTAAGCGCGAATGAGTTGACCGAATTATTAGCAAGGGCATGTGACACAACTATGCCGAGAAAACTGGAGCCAACGAACAGGCGGCGTCCAGCCTACTGGTGGAACGAGGAAATTAGCACCCTCCGTGCTACTTGTCTTCTAGCCAGAAGGCGTGCTCAGAGAGTAAGAACAGAAGCAGACAGAGAGGAGCGCAGGGTGGTGTTCCGAGAGGCCAGCGCTGCACTGAAACGAAAGATAAAGCTGAGCAAGTCAAATAGTTTCAAGGAGTTGTGCCGCGATGCCGATGCCAACCCCTGGGGCAACGCATACCGAGTTGCGATGGCGAAGATCAGAGGCCCAACGATGCCGGTTGAAATGTGTCACAACAAGCTGAAAGTCATCGTGGAGGGACTTTTCCCACAGCATGACCCAACGAACTGGCCACCTACACCATATGGCGAGGTAGATGAAGACAACGTTGAACAAGTCTCCAACGAGGAACTCATAGCAGCAGCGAAAGGGTTGAAAGCGAATAAAGCTCCCGGCCCGGATGGAATTCCCAACGTGGCGTTGAAGGCGGCGATCCAGACGTTCCCGGACATGTTCAGGATGGTGCTGCAGAAATGTCTGGACGATGGTCAGTTCCCTGATAGGTGGAAGGTACAAAAGCTTGTGCTGTTGCCGAAGCCCGGAAAACCGCCGGGGGATCCTGCATCGTATAGGCCAATATGCTTGCTGGATACTGTACACGAAACGAAAATCAATTATTTTATTCATGTGTTTCACTTATACATTTTTGCCAAAAGATCAGCCTTATACATTCCATAAGGCAAACCAAATAGGTCCTACAAGAATGCATAAATGGTATGTGTGACCGCTTATACATTTCATTTGACACATGAGCTTCATTAACTTTTTGCAAGGCGTCTGCTTATTAGTTGACTTATACATTTTATGAATAATCAGCAATAGAAATTTGCCAAAAGGTATAAGGAAATTTCTATCCGTGTAGGAAAGCTCTTAGAGAGGATCATCCTCAACAGACTGACGAAATGCACGGAGAGTGAACACGGATTGTCGGAGAGACAGTTTGGATTCCGGAAAGGGAGATCGACGGTGGATGCAATTCGGACAGTGATTGACAGAGCCGAGAAAGCTTCCAAACAGAAGCGGAGAGGAAATCGATACTGCGCCGTGATTACGATCGATGTCAAGAATACATTCAATAGCGCCAGCTGGGAGGCCATCGCCAAGGCGCTCCATAGAATGAGGGTTCCAGGCTACCTCTGCAGGATTCTAAGTAGTTATTTCCAGAACCGGGTCCTTGTCTACGTGACAGACACGGGGCAGAAATCGCTTAGAATCACGGCGGGGGTTCCCCAAGGCTCCATTCTAGGTCCCACGCTGTGGAACGGAATGTACAATGGCGTGCTGACGCTCAAGCTGCCCAAAGGAGTTGAGATCGTTGGCTTTGCGGACGATGTCGTCTTGACGGTAACCGGTGAGACGCTGGAAGAAGTGGAAATGTTGGCGGCTGAGGCGATAGATACGATTGGTAACTGGATGCAAGGAGCGAAGCTGCAGTTAGCCCACCACAAAACAGAAGTGATGTTGGTCAGTAACTGCAAAGCAGTGCAGCGGGCAGAAATTACCGTTGGAGAGCACACCATTGCTTCGAAGCGCATGCTTAAGTATCTGGGAGTGATGATCGACGACCGGCTAAACTTTAATAGCCACATCGAATATGCTTGCGAGAAGGCGACGAAGGTCATCAACGCAATAGCCAGAATCATGCCGAACAATTCTGGTCCAAGCAGCAGCAAGAGACGTCTTCTGGCTAGTGTTTCCTCATCAATACTAAGGTACGGAGGTCCAGCCTGGATTGAAGCGCTGAAAACGAAGCAGAACCAAAGGAAATTGAGCAGTACGTTCCGGCTCATGGCCATGCGAGTCGTGAGTGCGTACAGAACCATTTCGATGGAGGCAGTATGCGTTATCGCCGGTATGATCCCAATCGGCATCACCTTGGCGGAGGACTACGAGTGCTATATGACGAGAGAAACCAGAGGAGTACGAAAAATGGTGAGAACGGAGTCGATGGCTAAGTGGCAGCAGGAGTGGGATGCAGCAGAGAACGGTAGATGGACACACAGGCTAATACCGACTCTTTCGACCTGGGTGAACAGGAAGCATGGAGAAGCCAACTTCCACTTGACGCAGTTCCTGTCTGGTCATGGCTGCTTCAGGAAGTACCTGCATCGGTTCGGACACACAACGTCACCCTTCTGTCCGGAGTGTGGGAATGTGGAAGAATCACCAGAGCACGTGGTTTTCGAATGTCCTAGATTTGATGATGTGCGAGAGGATATGCTCGCCCTTAGCACGGAGAATGTCGTCGAAGAAATGTGTCGAGAGGAGGGCACCTTTAACGCCGTCAGCAGAGCAGTAACGCAGATCATGTCAGCGCTGCAGCGAAAATGGCGGGAAGACCAACTAGAAAGTAGTAATGTGCTCACACAAGTGCGAACTGAAAGCCGAAGCCGGGAGAACTCTCCGTCAGAGTAGGCTGTATCCACCACCAGGGATAACCGAGTAGAACGTGACGCTGGGAGATAAATGGCTCACAAATTGGAGAGACGATCAGCGAACTGGAAGCGCCAATTAGCTGAGGTAAAGTGAGGTGCGTAATGCACGGCCCCCTCCGAAGTAATACGACAAGTGGTTCCGGGGGAAAAGGGCAAGGCGTCTAAGGAGGTTTTAGTGCGGTAAGAATCCCACACACCGTGTCACCGCGACTGTGCGCCCAGTCGTCAAGCGGTGGCACGATGGCCTTTTTGAAGGTTTCCTCCTTGCCAAAAAAAAAAAAAAAAAAAAAAAAAAAAAAAAAAAAAAAAACACACACACACACACACACACACACACACACACACACACACACACACACACATACACACACACACACACACACACACACACAAACGTGTATGTGCCGCTTTAAAAACGAGCAAGGCCGGGCACATTCAGTTAGAATCATATAAGAGCAAATTCTGCTATAATAGGTGCACTAAGCTGTGTACCTATTATAGCAGAATTTGTTCTTATATGATTCTAACTGAATGTGGCCGGCCTTGCTCGTTTTTTTTTATCGTATCGTACGCACACTACGTCACGTACACGTTTGTGTGTGTGTGTGTGTGTGTGTGTGTGTGTGTGTGTGTGTGTGTGTGTGTGTGTGTGTGTGTGTGTGGTAAGCTCCCCGAGGTGTCTGAGAACGATGTACAATAAAGTTGCGATTATATTTAAAAATTATTTTACCCTTAGGGTGGCGATCTTGCCCCGTCCAATACCCATACAATTTGTTCCAAGGAAATTTCGGATAGAGTAATGCTACGTTCTCAATGCTTTCGTCATTATCGTTACATATATATTATTGTGTACACGCAGAGAAAATTCATCAAACATTTTGTTGACTCACTTCTCACAATAATTTATTACTGATTCTTAAATATATCATAATTGTATCGATACTATATATTTTTGATTAAAAAAAAAGTTTGTTTGATTCTACAACCGTTTTGTTGTTCCAACTATTGTATTTGTTGAAATAATCATTACATATTATTGAATTAATGAAATAAAATGTAATAAATCGTAAGTCAACAATATTTTTGTTGAATTTAAAATTCATTTCTAAGCGTGTAGCGTACTGTTTTAAAATACAAATCAGTTTCAAAAAAACCTTTCCTTTCACAATGCCTTCGATCCGGTAAATTACACCGGCTGAATGAGTGCACTGACGAATGCAACCACTGTTTAGTATGCTAGCGTCAAACTTTCCTTTCCTTCTTCACTGTAACTTCATAATATGCTGACTGACCATGTTTGGATAAACTTTTTTACTCGATGTTAATAAAAACCGGTTAGATGTGTATGTATGATTGATTAATTTGCTCAAATGCTGTTTGCTTAGTAAATTTCTTAACGAGTAATTAAGAAGTGATTGGGATAGCCAACGCGTTGAAAATAACATTTTTTTAGCAGGGGACGTTGTATTAGAGTAAGCGAAACTCGTTTTCGTTTACACAGAAAACAATTTAGGCAGGTATAGGCAGGTAAAGAATGAAATTATTATTTTTAAACCAAGATGATTACTTTCCTAATTGTGTTCCAATATGACCTCTGAACTATGTAATAGGACATACATTGATTGCAATATTTATCATCTTAGCTATTTTTTTTCAATTGAATCTGTAAGTAAAAATTAATTGATTTTTGGACTTAAGTTCGGAAAAAAAATTTGGGAAGACCAAGCCAACCTTCGAAACAAAGAAGTATGTGGAAAATCAAGAAATGACTAGCGATAGCATCGAAGACGAAAATGCACGAAATGTTAGTGAACTTTTCCTAGATCGTTATGTATAAAATTGTTTTAACTGTTGGTTCTTAGTTTAGTAAGTTTTTCACGAAATGATATCAATTTTGTTGCATTCATTGCTACTGATAAAAAAATGGTTAAATCTTTTACACGAAGATTTCTACTCATTTTAGCCAAGGCTCTCCACGCAGGTGGTGTTCAGACTCTGTCCTTTGATTAGGGTCTTGAACTGCTCTGGGATGGGTTGTTCAGTCTGGAAGAGCAAAGAATATATTATCCCTTTGATTTCCGATATGCATCTCACTTCTAAATATTATGTACCTACTCATATTTAGGTAAATCAAAAAATACAATAGAATAACACTTACATAATCTCCGCTGTTTCCCTTGGGAATCATAACATTCATTTCGGAGGACTTGGAACTAACAATTTCAACGTCCAGCGAATCCGCAGACAGATACATTTGGCACCCATCAGTTTTGTCAATGGAAATTGTTGGAACTTTGCCAAGAACCTGAAAAAATTAGGAATACACCATACTTATCTATTGAACGTTTTCAAAAGGAAATGCTTTCAAAACACACCTGCATCTGTACACTTTGGCAGTTGACGAACTCAGCGGACGCCACCAGCGCATCGAATACGAGTGAGCACTTCTTGCACGAATCCATCACGACGCTATTGATTTTGCCCTTGATCTGCAGGGTAGAATTCTCACATCTGAACATGTACACCACGTTGTTCATTTCAGCGTCCTCAACCACCAGGTTGCTGTTCCCCTTCTGGTATTCAATCAGCCATTTCTTGCCATCACGGACAAAGGATGGTGCCTTTACAACAGCCGCAGCGGGTGCGCTGACCGATTTGGTGCCGTTTGTAATGCCACATGGTGCTTTATATGGAGCAGGTCCGGATCGGAGGGAAGGATTTTTGTGCGTCTGCATCTCCGAGGTGACCTTCTTGAGTCCTGTCAACGGGAGAAAATAAAAAAGCGATAAAATAAAAGCAACGTCTCATAGCGAAAATCAGCAAGCCGAGAAAACCGTATTTTATGTTGGATTCGTGTTGTTGCTTTTTATGTGATTTTACAACCAATTTGGCTGTCTTTCCAAACTTTTTCAGAACAAAGTTGTTGAGCTCATCCAATATTATGAAATTATGGGTGATTACCCGGAAAAAAATAACCATACAATTACCATAAAATAAAATACAGTTCTATTGTCAACAACCTATCTTATTTTACGTATATTGTACAATAAATTTTAACATATTGTTATTAAAATAGATGTAAAATACGTCCCATATTGTAAGGATTTTCGGTAAATGGCTCAAGTTTGTTCGGAAAAAAGTGATTTTTCGTATGGTTAAGATACATAACAACCCCCTTGTTCTATTGTGGATTTCCCCATTTACCATAGATTCTATTGTGGAAATAATAAATTCTATGGTTATTTTATTGTTGTAGACAGTACGATTTATTGTGAATACAATAAATTCTATTGTATGGTTACAATACATTTCATTGTACCTCTAAGGTACTTTTTTTACGGGTAGCTACCATTTGCATTGAAAAAATAAATTTTACTAAAACGACTATGGGATCGGCTTGCGAAGAACAACAGAACAGATCAGTTGGTATTGAATAACTAATTCGCTATTAATCCTCTCATTTTAGCACAGGTATCGTCAACTTTCCAGTCTGTCTACCATTAAATATTATTCTAATCCATGTGTTCTTGAGAATTCAACTGAGCAACTATTGAAAAACAATTAAAATACCATTGATTTCAAACAAAATCTTTTTTTTACAGATTCGATCTTTTTAGGCTATGTGGAACTTCTTTCGTTCTAGCATTTTTTACTCCCCCCACACTTTGTCATACTTAGATCATTCTCGCCTGGTTAAAAAACACTAATATACTGTTGTGTTCGATAAAATAGCAGCGCATGCCGATTTTCATTGGGTTATCTTTAAGATGGCTACGTTTTATGGGCTCCCGTCAGTTGGGCTGTAGCCCACCTAAATCGAAAAGAAACGTCATTCCCGACCAGTGTTGGAAAAGTTCACCAAAACTGACTATGACTCGCGAACTTTTCCCTTGGTGAACATGGATGCACAAATTGGAAAGTTGCTAAAATATTTCGATGATAATAAGCAATTGGAGTATCCCTCAACAATTTTCAGCTTGACAGCTCAGCCCAACTAACGAAAACCGGATTATGGGGTTAGACCAACGAGCGAAGGTTGACTGATTTAAACGGAAATTACTAATCCTTCTCTCTTTCTTTATACAAGTATTCCACTATACATTCGTAAGGAATCTGAAGACCTCATCACGGCCCTTTACGGCACTGGTCAAATAGTTGCTAGAGAGTTTATCGTAGTAGTAGAAGAAAGCATTGTCTTTATCGTTGGTTGCTTTATGTGTTTGGATTCGCTGCGTCTGAGACAAAGTTGTAGGAAGAAATATAGTCGGGAATCCTTATTCCCGGATGGTTTTTTGACCGTATTCCTTCATCCGGATTCCTAGATGCTTGAGTTTTGGCAGTAAGAATACTGACCGGATATGCTATCCTCGCTCAAACGGCGTCCAAGTATGGGTTTAAGTTTCACTTTTATTGCAGATTACGAATATGCATTTACCTAAATACCCTCAAAGAACCCAATTGATTTTCACGAAAAACATGCACAGTAAAAAAATTAAGTTATTTTGGATAAACCTAAGGGAAGGGAATGGCCAAAATTGCAGAGAAACCGCTTGAACTGGTGGAATATCCGCGTCGAAGAAACGAGAAAACAAACCGAGAGTTTCATCATATATATTATATTAACAATATGATCCACTTTTTCGCTTTGCTGGCTAACCGATTTTTTAGCGATGAAAGCGCCGCTGTGGCCAAAAAGGCTACCAACATAGAGGTAACTCTAAGACCAGAAGGTCCCAAAGAAACATGTTCAGCTCTGGTACTATCTTCGGTCCCAAGCTAATCGATGCACCCCTCGAAACATAGGAAAACCTACGATCCCCTCATTTTATCTGTCAAACTTTCATAGCGAATCAAAACAAACATAGCGTAGTACTAGAATTTTGACTAGAATGGGGCACGTTAATCGATTTGCTTGGGACCAATAGGCTAGTCAAGTAGCGAGCCAATTTTAAATCGTTAGTTGCCATCGGTTGCTACCAATGCATTAGTTTATCTTCACGAGGGGTAAACCCAATGAAAATTTGTATAAAATTTGAAATTAATGTATTTCAGTATATTATTTTATTTGATGACAACAATGGCACGTCAGACAAATTTTAATGTAATATACGAAATGTAATTAATGAAAATCATTTGACTTTTACTTTTGTAATAAATGCCTATATTCGCGCCCCTCGATTGTAATTGGGTTCTTTAAATGTATTGAGGTAAATGCATATTCGTAATCTGCATTAAAAATGGAACCCAAACCCAAAATTTCATCAACTTTGGTACACTGGAACTATTTTAAATAAGTACGATTACATTTGCAAAAATCACCTTATTAGCGCCCCTCGGTGTCACTTTGTATGGGAGCGAGCTGTCAGTTTAGTTTCAAACAGTGAAGTTATTATTTTGCTTTAAATTTTGATTTAAAATCGAGATGAAAGTGTGTGGGTTCGAAAAAATATCGCTCTGCTCTGAAAACGAAGCTCTTTCAGATGATATATAAAAACCGATATATTTTTCAAAATTAAGGTTCTACAAAGGGTCATTATTTTGTTATTTTGTTTGGGTTGATGGCAGCAGTGCACGTAGCCTGTTATACACTTTCCCGCTCAGGGGTGTAAACAAACTTGCATACAGCGCAGTCTGGCAGTGCTTATGTTTTGTCTGCTACATTCTTATCCACTAGATAGTGTGACATCACATTTGCTGTTGTATTGAAACGAAGGAAGAAAAGAGATGGTTAAGTTTTCCTCACCAGACCAGTTGATATTTATGAAAAATTGGCAGTTTTGGCGTGGGGACATGCACTTCCAATGAATTTTACCAATACATTTAGAAAATGATGATCGAAGAATATTTAAAAAAGAAGAAGTAAACAAAATAATGACCCTTTGTAGAACCTTAAAGAACCTAATTGCTATAAGCTAAACCTTTGTCTGTGCAAAAACTTTATTATCACACACAAACAGACATAACGTATTGCACATTTTTCACTATAAAACATCGTCTCTAAAACACTTCCGCCATCTGTTGAGTACACTGTGGTGGGTAGTACCATAGAGGTAACTCTAAGACTAGAAGGTCCCGAAATAACGTGCTCAACTTGTTGACTCAGCTCTGGTACTCTCTTCGGTCCCAAGCTAATCGATTCACCCCTCGAAACATAGGAAAAAACAATAACCCCTCATTTTATCTGGCAAACTTTCATAGCGAATCAAAACAAACATTGCGTAGTACTAGAATTTCGACTAGAATGGGGAACGTTAATCGTTTGCTTGGGACCAATAGGCTAGTCAAGTAGTGAGCCAATTTAAAATCAGTAGTTTCGTATTGATTGTTGGTAGTACGCTGAACAGATGGCAGTAGTGTGTAAACGTCAAACGAAAGGGCATTGAAGAATATGCGCGCCACAAGGGGCGGTACTACCAACCTAAGAGGAACAGAAGATAATACGGGGGCGAAAATTAACCACTTTTCTGTCAAACGCGAATCAGCTCGTGATTGGCCGATTTGAAGTGCGTAAGATAGAGATAGATATAGATAGATATAGATATAAAAGAGTAATAAGCCAGTTGTCTCCTCTTCCTCTTAGCTGCCAACCAAGAAAAAAAATAATAACCCAAATCTAAAATTTTAACTCAATCCCATCTTTGTTTGTGATTTCTCAAAATTCCGCTGAAATAGGGCTTGGGCGCGGGTAAGAACTCCACACTCTGAATGAGCGAAGCTTGCCCACGGTCGTGTAAATTGAGCATCTAGCAACAGGTGTACAATAAATCTGAATGTATAATTTATCGAATTCAATTGCAAAAAACTATTCAGTAAATTGACTACGGGTTCCTTATTTTGAACGTTCGATGTACAATCTCGCGCGTGAACACTTTTTATGAAAAAAAAAATACTTCTACACGAGAGAAGCTTATGAACTTGTTTATATCAAATTAAAATGAAGGGAACTCGCAGCCACACCTTACAGAGTCGCAACTTTACAGATTGATTGACCCTTCTGACCAACTTAAACGTCTTATCCAGTTGCTAAAAGCCAAAACTGTGTTTTTCTTGCACGAAGTCATGTTTGTAACAGTATTAACCCTCTCCTTGCCATGGTAGCACAGGGGATCCACAACTGTTTAGTCCGTTTTTTGTTTGTCAATCGACCATTATACAGTCAGTACTTATTTAAGCTTCTCCGTTTGCTTGTGCATATGTATTCTTGAGAATTCAAGTGTGCAATTATTGAAAAACAATTAAAATACTATTGATTATATTGACTGATGCGATCATTTTAGACTGACTGCATGGGACATCTTTTGTTCTAGAACCTTTTTTTTTTCAAAAATAGCTATTTATGCAACAAGTTGGAAAAAGAAGATTTTTTTCAGCACAAATCTTAGTTTATCCTACGAGGCTTGCCGAGTTAGAAAATTACGAAGAGTTCTGACAAAATCGAATTTTGCAACGAGATGCATACAACATTGTTTGCACTCAAAAGAGTGTCGAAAAGTAGAATAACACAGACAGCGTTGAGCTTGAGTTCCAATTTCTTCAGCGCGCGTTCATTTAACACGTGTGTTGTCTTTCGAACTAAATAATGTGCACTCTGCACATCGAACGTGATACCTCGTACCTGTACGCAAGTGTGAACATCGAGACTTGCTATGTTGAAATGGAAAGGGCAGACGATTGATGGAGTGCACGCGTGAACACAGAGTGAATGCTTATGTAAGTTCAAAAGCCTGCTTGCACATCGGTGCTAGGCTGTACCGTGAAGACTGCTGAAAAGTAGTACTTTTCGACACTGTTTTTTTTTTATTAGGAAAAGTAGGCCATTATGTTATTCAAAACAGTGTCGAAAAGTGATACTATTCAGAACTGAGTGCCAAAAACACATTTTTGCATCTCAAAACAACGAAAAATCTTCTGGGAAGGAAAGGGTTAAGGGGCAAAACAAGAAAAGTTGTACCATTTTTCCAATTTTCTAATCAGCAAGCCACAAAAAAAAAACAAAAGATAGGTTTCTAGGTTAATTTTCGGTAAAGTTGAAGTTAAATTATCAATTTTTATATCATTTTTTGGTGAAACATTTACCTAAGCGTTTTAACATAGGCGCTAAGCGGCAACAATTTTTCACCGTTTTGCATTGTCTCGATTTTGTTTTATTTACGTTTTTCATACATAACGTAGAGAGACTATTTTTGTTGTGTTTCAAAGTTTAAATATGCCCAATTATTATTGTAAAAAAAATATAAGTTTATTAAACTGTTCAGCATACGGAACTGTTAACAATATGATGCACGGTATCTTATAAAGTATCTGGTAAAATTTCTGATTTTAGATCTAGACTCGCAAGAAAATTTAAATATTTAAAATTGGTATGATAAGGTAACTTTATTTATATTTTTGTTAGACAACATCAACAGGCTTGACTGTAGAGAGTGCAGTTGCGAACGTCTTTGGATACGGTTGTGCTTTAAGTTTGTTCTCTGTTTTGTGCGTGCGTTCGCGTTCATAGTTTTCGGCTGCATTTGCCGGATTAGCGCTGGCGCTCTGCCTCCCGGACGTTTATACGTGTGTGATTGGTAGTTTTCTCGCTTTCCGGGAAGTTTTAGAATAGAGAAAGAAAACGTGATTCAACATGTTTGCAAGCATCAGAAGAGATGTCGCAATCTGCGTTATTTGATTTTCTCCCGGACCAGAAATTTGTGGCATCGCGAGTGATAATTTTCAATTTCAGTTTATTTACGCGCTGCAAGGTGCGTGAAAGAGTTCGGCAAAATCGGTGTTGATGTTGGCTCGCTTGCAACTTTTTTTTTGTGTTTTCGAAAGAAATAGATCGAAAGTGTACCAAAAGTGCTTCTGAACGTGTTTCGCAGTTGGGAGTGGTGAAATTCGTAAATTCGCGGTTTATGTTCAGTGAAAATTCCGTATCACAAAATTGCTCACCGAGTTCCTTTTTTTGCCGTTCAACGACGACGGGCATGCGAGAGAAAAATAAGCATCGGGAATGTGCTCCCGGATGTATTGATTTGGTGAGTACGTTCCAGTTGAGGATTGTTCTTATACATATCTCGATTGCATTTTCGAGGGGACGTCCGGAGAGCTGTGAGCTTTAGACGTTGTTGCTTTTGCGGGCAGGCAAGTTGGTCGCCGGTAAGGGCCAGTAAGTGCTGCCAGCATATGAATCAAGAGGTATTCGAAACAAAATTGGTAAGAAATGTCCATTCAAATCGATTTAATACAGTTGAACAAATTTCAAAACTATATACGTGCAAGATTTGGAAATAATATTTTTTGAATCTGGAAGTGTGTTTATGATACCATTATCCATTTGATAAAGGTAGAGTGAACATGCGGGGCTTATTGTAAGTAAAAGTGACCTCGGAGTGGTCGTGAATTACCAGGCATTCTGAAATGGGTCACTGGAGCTGCAATAGATCTAACACCTTCTAACTCCCGGACTAAACCTGCTTTAATTTAAGGGTAATAAAAAGCAGTTTTCTCCCATAATAACACTGCCGGATACCCCCAATGCTGGTTTGGAAAGGCTAATCATCATTGGGGTTGCAATGTTGATATTGACAAACAAATAAATTAATAAATGTACTAGCTGACCCATCTTGCCCCACCTTACCCCACATATATGACGTAGGATTTGAGATGGAAGGGGGTGTTTTAGAAGTTGTGCCTGACTTAAAAGTTACAAAAATCCAACACAGAATCACTTTAAATCCGATTGATGACACTTACCCTTTGTAATATCTGCTCCTTTATTGATATCCGCAAACAGGGCGCTCCGCTCGTCGCCGGTTTCGCTCACATCACCGAGAGGCATCATCGGTGGTGGTGGTGGAAGCCCACATGGGGGTGGTGGAGGTGGAACCCCAGCTCCGGCTGTAACGGGTTTGTTTTTGCCCGCCCAAACCAGTCCGGTAGTGTGATGTTGCTTGATGTATTGCTGCAGTTCAGTCAAGGTTTGAATCCATGCACGAGCCCACTCGACGTGGGTGGTATTCTTCTCCTTCCAGTCTTTGAGTACACGATTCGTGTAGAACTGACCTGCATCGTTCATCTCTTTGACGTATGGGCCAGGCGTTGGCGCCTTGTTTAGGGAAAAGTAGGTAAGAAATTCATTACTGTAACAATCGACTCTGGTTGTCGTTCTAGGTAAGTTGTTAGTGAATGCTACAGTGAAAACATTCATTCTCGGAAAATGGAGGTGAAAGGATTTTGCGAAGATATAAATCATGTACTTACCACACAGACCCATCCGAGAGCAGAGATGCTTTCACTAATCGCCGAAAGATGATTGAAGAATTGTGAAGTACGATGTTTTTCCCGGAAGCTTTGAATGGCGGCAATTTGATCCGATGTTGGCTTGAGTAGATTCTGTAAATCGTTGTTCGACGGAGCACTCGATTCGGAGGCAATCCGCACGAAGGTAAACTGAACGCTATTGAAGAAGAAGCAGACATTTTGATCTGGAAACTGAAGGGGATTTATAGTGCCACTTACTCGAATGCTTTCTTAACCAACTCGGCCTGTGCGTCAACATCTCCACCGATTTTGTTCGACAGAGCTAGGAAGTTGGCAAAGGTGCCCAAAATGATGTCCTCGTACGCGTTCACACTCATACTGTCTGTTGGGGGTGGTTGGCTTGCACTGCAGAATACGTCCGGCGGTGGATAGTCAGCAATTTCTAATACTGAATTTTGCTCTTGATCGTTACTGTTATTACTACTAATTGAATTATCTAATACTACTTGCGAAATTACTGTTGGTAGAGTATCTAACGGTCGATCTACTTGCGGCTGATCCTTGGCAGCGGTTGTTTCGACGGAGTTAAGCTCAGGAAAGAGAGTCGCTTCGAGACTGTCCAGCTGTTGATGCAGATAGGATGCTGAAGGTGGTGGCGTCGAAGGGAGAACCGTAGGAAGATCACTATTCGAATTTGAATCCAATAACTTGTCGTCTTCTTCAGTTCCTGTGTTTTCGTCAGTTACCGATACTACTGCTTTTCCGGCGTCACAAACACCTTTCAATATACGGCGCGTTTCTTCCAATTCACGTGCCGAAACGGTTCGCTCTAAACGGTCTACTATTCGATCGAGGCGATCTATAAGGTGCTCTAATTCGCGGGCTGACGATGGTTTTAGATCTGGGTCACAATCTAGAAAATGAAAATGAAAAGCAAACATTAGATTATCTTCCAGAAAATACCATTTCAGTTAGCATGAAATACAACATTTAAGTTGGGTGTAGGTCTATCCAAACATGTTATTAAAGACCGAAATCGTTTCGGGATCTTCTATAAACGATTTTCCAGTATGAAACAAAAGTTGTCGTACAAAAGTGTAGTGCGAAACAATTTGTACTGGAGCTTCGCAACGGAGCTAAAATCAAAACGAAATCAAATACTTCATCAAGGTGGAAATACTCAGCCTCAATTTACAAAGCCATACTTTCCGGTTTATTCTGCATATTCTAGTGGGAAAAGAGCAAGTATGTAGGTAGTACATTTTTCCGTCTTATTCTATTGCTTCTTCGATATTTAATCATCCTAGTCCAAAGCATAATTTCACCGATACAACTTTTTTTTCACGACGTGAGAAATTCTGTACCAGCGGATTGAAACAACTTCGTCATGATGCTATAGACCATAATGGAAAACGCAAGCACTCATTGGGAAAATTATGCATGAAAATCACTTCAGTGGGTACAACAGGGCACAACTAGGAAGCTACACAATCCGGTATAAATCTATTTAGTATAGAAATATGTTCATTGCTAATTTGAATCAAAAGAAGCACCATTTCTGAGCTCAAACTGATTATCTATCTATGAAAGATTGAATAGACTTGAATGATAAATTTTGAAGTTTCCTTAAAACATATTCTGGAAAATAATCTTGTAAGTTCTTTACGGTTACGGCAAATGTTAGAAAGGCACTAGCAAAATCAAGCTCATTCGTCGAGCAGTTGCAAGCCGGTCACTGGTATCACCACAATCCACACGTCGTGGCCATTTAAAGCCGGCAAGTATGAGTAAACAGATTACATGAACCGCACAAACAGAGGAAGGAAAATATGTTTGTAGTTCTTGTTTTTTTTCCTAGTGCTTCGTAAACCTTTTTTCAGTTCTTCATAATGATCCGAACCATCACCAACAAGAGCGCATTCGATAGCATGTCCAATGTGAAAACGTAAAACACACAACCAATACAAAACTACACAGACTGTAAGACGATATTTGACCATTTTTTCCATCATATTGGTACACACACTGAGAATCTTCGAACGATGGAAATAGCTTTCTACGGATGGATATTTTTCGCTTTTCCTTCTTCATCCATCAGGACCCGGGCACTATCGTCCACTACTTCCGACTGTAAACTAATATATCACCCAAGCGTTAAGATGGGAAATGACACCGATCCGCTTATCACGAATTACCTGGATTGGAACAGTTTTTCACATCATATATGACTAACGTTCGCCCAAAACAGACACTCAGCAAATGACCCATCCGGTGGCCCTCTCGCGTTTCGACACTTGGCTACGACAACACCAAAACGCAAACACACATTCATAGATCAGACGTACGAGATTCTCCCTTTACGGGGTGGGGTTGAAAAAATTTACACTGTTTTTCCGAAAAAGAAATGAAAATTCCCTTCTTGGAGCGACACCTAACATTGCAAAGCGCTGTCGTAGAAATTCATGTGGGCTGTGACTAGCGCGCAGATTTACTACAGTCGCAAAGGAGATTTTTTTGAATGAGTATAATTTATGTTAACTAGAACTGCACCCAACGGCGTCGCACACTATTCTTGGGATGAGCTAAGTATACTCGCAAACTGTGCACACATGCAAAAAATACCCGGAAAGTTTATGTTTGAGTACGTATGGCCCGATTGGTGTGAGATATCAAAATATAGAATATGACTGCTTTCTGGACAACGTTTCCGGCGAGATAGGAACAGACCAAACAAGCAGCCCAGAAATAATAAACATTACAAATAACATAAGTCTGTACAGCAAGTGACAACCAGGCATTAGCATGAATGGAAAGGTAACTACTTTCAGGGTTGTTACAGAAATCCTTATTTTGAATCCGCACGATCCGCGCCACAACATTTGGTCATCTGCGCCAGGATGCCAAATCCACGTCATAAAATAAATATTGCATTTACAACTAAAATACCCACAAACTATTAGGAATACACACAACAAGTTTTAAAACCTTTAAACATTTATTATATCGAACCTCTAAAGCAATGAGTCATTGGCACTGGCACAGAGAAAGTCTACATGTAGTTGACGAAATACGCGTATCAGTCAAAATATAGGTAATTATAACGGAACTAAAAGGTATTTACTCAACTCCAAAATCTTTTCAGTCTGAAACTGTGAGAAGAATTCTGAGATTTTTTTCAAAGTCAGAAATGTGATTTTTTTTTAAGTTGTAGAATTACGAAAATTTTAATGTCCCCCAAATTTATGATAAGTACCAGATCGTGAGCTACAAGTTTGGAATGTTTAAATGTTTTCGTAGAACGGGACAGAATTTTGAAATGTCAGCCTTGGATCCTTAAATTTGTTCCAAGCCTGAGATTGCATCACAATTCTTAATAAGTAGCATTTTTTTTTAAACTTTAAAATAATTGATTTTCGTTTCGTGTAGATGGTATGATCATATCAGGCATAACATTTGATAACGGCACAAAAGCATTTGTAAACAAACTTTCTAAGGCCCTTTACACGCGAACCAAAGTACGCCCACGCAAACCAATACCACTTTCGGAAAGGTGACAGTTGCCCCTATCCGATGATGTTGTTGGTTTGCGTGGAAAGGGCCTTAGAATGTTTGTTTACAAATGCTTTTGTGCCGTTATCAAATGTTATGCCTGATATGTTTAAATTGTAAGATACATGGTAAGAAAAAAGTACCCAAAAGTATGTTCTTTTCACTTACCTCGGTACTATACACGAAACGAAAATCAATTATTTTATTCATGTGTTTCACTTATACATTTTTGCCAAAACATCATCCTTATACATTCCATAAGACAAACCACATAGGTCATATAAGAATGCATAAAAGGTTATGTGTGACCACTTATACATTTCATTTGACACATGATATTCATTAACTTTTTGCAAGGCGTCTGCTTATTAGTTGACTTATACATTTTATGAATAATCAGCAATAGAAATTTGCCAAAAGGTATAAGGAGATTACTATCCGTGTAGAGCAGAAAGTTTAAAGTAGTTAAAGCGGATCAAAGTAGTTTACATGTGTGCAATTCGTATGAAGTTTTCCATTCGCTTTCTACCCAAAAAGCAAGTTAGTTGTACCCAAAAGTAGGTAAATATGATTCTACTCAACGTTGGGTTCCCACACTTTACAACCCCTGTTGGGTGGTTTTGCTCCTCCGTTTTTGACTACATTAGTAGGAGAAAAGTAGACAAACTAGTTAAAAATAGGTAAAAGTGAACTTTTTTCTTACCGTGTACTAGAAGTGGATGCATAGTATATGTTTAACACATAAGATCTACTTTGACTATATGTTTAGTATTACTTCTGCGTGAAGTCAACGATTTACATAGTTGAAGATGCTAATTTCAAATAACAGACTGAAGTGGTAATTTTTATACGCTAGATGAGAAGATGAAAGTATAGAATTGATAGTTCCGTTTGGAGTACGGCAGTGTGAAAATTGCATATAGAGAGTAGAAAGCGAGCTAGACAAATTTTAGGAAGGTACAAGTCAGTTTTATCACCATCCCTCTCCAAAGGGGGAGTTTGGTAAAGAGAAATGATAAAACTGATTTGTACCTTCCTAAAAGTTGTCTAGCTCGCTTTCTACTTTCTATATGCAATTTTTACACTGCCGTACTCTAAACGGAACTATCAATTCTACACTAATAGAATTCCACAAATTTTTATTGACGAATTTCCATGTAAAATTCCACACAATTTTCATGTGACCACACATAACCAGAATCCACCCAGAAACACACATGAAATTTATGAGTCAAATGAATAGTATGTGTGGTTACACATGGCTTTTATGTGTACACATATTAAGTATGTGTCCGACACATAGATATCATTTGTTGATCACATTGCAAAAACTCATGTGTGGGACACATAAAAACAATCTGTAAACAATATAAATATAATATAAACATAAAATCGCTGATTGTTACTTTTAGGATTGACTGGTTTTTAGTGTCAAACATATACTTTGTAAACTTTTCTTGTAACTTACCAGTAAAACATGTGATCATAACATCTTTTGATTTAATTATTCCAAAAAATATTTATGTGAAATGAACATTTGCAATCTTGCTTTTAATGTTGATCTAGAACTTCTATTTATTATATATTCATATCACAATCCCAAATTAATGCTAATATCACAACTATAAGTGATCTCGAACCAATAGTGGAACTCAAGGTCAGCTTGTGGAATTCACGGTAATGCTTCAATTTCGGGTACACCAGAAAACACCAGTAGCTCTGAAGATAACTGAAGATAATCCACGAGAATTATTACTATATTAATCACTACCTAACGTAACATTTGAAGGGCCTATCATCTTGTGTAAACAAAACTTGTATAGCCCTTTTCGTGCTAACCGAAGTAGGACGAATTGCAAACCTTAACTAATTCTAGTTTTTATCACAAGGCTAACTCTTTCGACTGAAGTGTAATGTTTGAACTTCCGAAAACATTTCAAATCTAGAGAAAATTCATGAAGTCTCCTGGGTAGCAAACTTGATTATTGAATTCGACAGTAGCATGCATAAGGGCGAATACGCGATGATCGATTCTCTTCATCGATTTTCTCTTTTGTTAATAACTCGCTAGAATTAACGTTTCTTGGAGCGTTTGCTGTTGCTTTTGATAGACAATACAACCTGTTACAACTCTGCATTGAACAAATTCTAGAAAATTGTTTCGCTTAGCTGTAGCAATGCAAAGATAAAATCGATGAAGAGAATCGATCATCGCCACACTATAAAATAGTGTATTCATGATCACTTGTGGCTGTACTTCTTTAACAGCTATAATGTGAACATAAAATCTATAAAAATCTAAACGCATTTTTTTTTAATTATTTCTAGATAATTACCAAGTAACCACCAAGCCTGTAAATAGCC